GCGACTGCAGACACACACTCACACCCAGCTTTTTGGTTTTTGAAAGTTTTTTTTTTGGCTGAAGGCCATGTGCACTCACCCGAGAGACGGAGAAAGAGAGAGACGGAAAGTGAGAAATCACTCCCCAGAGGGGATAGCTATGTTGCATCTTGGGATCTTGGGCATGCACACACATGCACCCGGAATGAGTTTTATTTATTTATTTATTTATTTATTTATTTATTTATTGAGAGGTTTTTCACTATAGGGCACGTGCACTCGCCAGACAGACAGAGAGAGACAGAGAGGTAGAAAGCGAGAAATCACCCCCCAGAGGGGATGGCCACGCCGCAATCCCTTCTCCTCCATTCTCTTCTCTGGATCTTGGGCACGCATGCACACACGCCCGGAGTGGGTTTCAAGCCACCTGGTCTGGGACGCGAACCGCGGTCGACTACGTGGGAGTCCAGTGACATAGCCATTATGCCAATTGCTGGTTCCCAGTTTTAAGCCTCTGGGTCCGGGACTCAAATTGCGGTTGGCCATGTGGGAGTCCTGCAACATAAACATTACGCCATCTGTTGGTCCCCCACCCAGCTCTCATTTTAGTCGGTCCCTCTATGTTGCTCATGCCAGCCCTGAGCTCTCCATCCTCCTGTCTCAGCCTCCCTGAGCTACCAGGATTACAGTTGCATACCCCATGGCCGACCTTCAGGTTGGACCTGGAACTGAACCCAAGCCTTCCATGTGAGACCAGCCTGGGGCACAGTGTTTTAGCAGAGTGTGCCACCATGGCTGGCCAACTCGAGATTTTTTATCTACAGTTTTGTTATCTATAAAATTTAAATAATTATACACACATACATATTCACTAATGATAGTAAAATAAGGTAATGTTTGATAAATATAGTTGCACTTAGCATTAAGATTTGTTGCATAAAATAAAAACCCCCATATAATAGTATCTTAAAGTTGAAGTTTATTTTTCATTTACTTGCTAGAAGTCCAGTGTTAGATAATCCGGGTCTAGTTTGGTAGTGTCATGCTTACCTGGGACCCAAGCTTTCTTTGTTTTTCTTTTCTACTATTCTAGTATGTGATTTCGTTATCAAGATTGATATTACTGCATAGTCTAAGGTGACTGCTGCAGCTCCAGCCATTCTAGCTATACTCCAGATAGCAGAAAGAGGAAAGGATTAAGGAGAAAAATGGGCCCGTTCTTTGGCTCAGCTAGCTAGCTTTTATTTATTAATTAATTTATTTTTGAGAAGTTTTAGCTATAGGGCGCATGCACTTGCCAGAAAGGCAGAGAGAGACAGAGAGACAGAAAGCAAGAAATCACCCTCCAGGGGGGATGGTCACGCCGCAATCCCTTCTCCTCCATTCTCCTCTCGGGATCTTGGGCACGCATGCACACGCGCCCGGCGTGAGTATAAGCCGCCAGGTCCGGGACTTGAACTGCGGTCGACTACGTGGGAGTCCAGCGACATAGCCATTACGCCATCAGTTAGCTTTGTTTAATAAGCCTTACTAGAAATCCCTCACAACCCGTCTTCCTATAATCTCATTGACTAGAACTTAGTCATATGACCACAACTTGCTAAAAGGAGACTGGGATGTTTAATCTGTTAGTTGGGTATATCGAAGCATAAAATAAAATTAGTGTTCTGTGCTAAGGAAGATGGCAATAGTGAGTGCTGGGTAGCTATTGGGAGACTTAGTCAGTGTAGATACCGGTCATGGTGCCTGACACGTGGAGGGGCTGAACAAATCACTTGCTGCTATTCTTTCCACTGCATTTAGAGTCTGTTTAGCTCTTATTTCCTCTTTGCTTCAAATGCATCTTATTTTTTTCCAACTGCACTGAAGGGCCACACATCATCTCTCTTTGTTGGGTGTTAGAACACCAGCAGAGTGCCTGGCACTTGGACAATCTGATAGGAACTTACTTGTTGTAAGAAAAGTCGTGATGTATTTTTTCTGTGCAAAAATGCATCTTGACTTTTCCGACAACCCAGTAGTGTGTATTTGTTAATTGATTTTACTTTCCACTAGGATGGTACTTCTTTTAGCCTCTTACTGGATTTTTCCTCCCTGTATAGATATTCCATATTTTTCCTTCAACTGCAAACTAGAAGCTATCATAAAAGGATATATTGAAGATTTTCATCCCTTTGATTATTTTTTAAGAGATATTTTTTGCTATAGGGTTTACATACTTGTTGGAGAGACAGAAAGAGACAGAGAGACAGAAAGTGAGAAATCACTCCCCAGGGGGATGGCTACACTGTAATCCATTACCCTCCATTCTCCTCTTTGGATCTTGGACATGCATGCATACATGCCTGGTGTGTTTTAAGTCACCAAGTCCAGGACTGTGGTTGACTACATGGAAGTACAGTGACGTACATTATACCATCTGCTGGTCCTGATAACTTTCTGTTTTCTAATGCCTTAAAAATTGCAGGTGGTATGGTGGTTAAGGCACTGGACTCCCACATGGCTGACTGAGGTTCGAGTCCCAGACCTGGCAGCTTGCTTTCTCACTTTCTCTCTCTCCCTTTGTCTTTCTCTGGTCGACCTAAAACATAAATAGATAAATAATGACAATGAATAAAATTAAATAATTCTTTTAAAAAATTGCATGGTGGAGTTGATAATTGAACATTTTATCTTTCTTTGATTAAGATACATTTTTAAAAATTTCTTTGTTTTGGACCAGCAGTTGGCGTAATGGCTAAGTTGCTGGACTCCCATGTAGTCGACCGCCGTTTGAGTCCTAGACCCGGTGGCTTAAACACATGCTGGGCACGTGTGCGTGCATGCCCAAGATCCTGAGGGAAGAATGGAGGAGAAGGGATTGCAGTGTGGCCATCTCCCCTGGGGGGTGATTTCTTGCTTTTTGTCTCTCTGTCTCTCTCTTTCTGGTGAGCACACATGCTCTATAACAAAAAACCTCTCCAAAAAAAAGAGAAAAAATTTCTTTTTTTACTCAATGCTTCAGAATAAATTCCAAAAATTGAACCCCCAAAATAATGTATGTGTGATGTATGTATATTACATGTATTTTACGTATGTAATATCTGTATCTTACATAGATATAGACCTCCCATATACCTGTTCACTATGCTTATATAGAATAGGAATTTTTCCAAATGCTGTCTTTTTTGGGGGGAGAGGTTTTCGCTATAGGGTGCGTGCACTCGCCAGACAGACAGAGAGACATAGAGACAGAAGTTAGTGTAATGGCTATGTCACTAGACTCCCACGTAGTCGACCGCGATTCAAGTCCTAGACCCGGTGGCTTAAACACATGCTGGGCACGTGTGCGTGCATGCCCAAGATCCCGAGGGAAGAATGGAGGAGAAGGGATTGCAGTGTGGCCATCTCCCCTGGGGGGTGATTTTCTTGCATTTTTCAAATGCTGTCTTTGAAAAATCCTCAGGACATGAGTTCTCTGTGCATATTAACTCACCTAGTTGTCTGTAAGGAAGCTCAATAGTTGAGAAAAAAGCTTAGGTTATATATCATTGTCAAGTTATTTTGAGCTCCCGATTTTTCTTTTTCTCCCCAATTGTGAATGAGAAGGGAGGAATAATTGGAGACAGGAACTCTTTGTAAGAAGATAGGGAA